ATATATATATATATATATATATATATAAATAAATAAAGGACCTCACAGGGTTTTATGAGAATCAAATGAGGTAATATGTCTGAAGGAACTTTCTAAACTACCAAATGTATATAAATGTAATATTGTTTGTTTTTCTTACTTTGAAAAACCTGAATTTCAGGGAGAATCTACCCAGTCATTTCAAGTTCAAGGAGTATTGTCCCCAGGTCTTCAGGAACCTCCGTGATCGATTTGGCATTGATGACCAAGATTACTTGGTGAGAGTCCATTAAGGGGTGAGGGTAGCCCTTTCTCACAGCAACTGAGGAGTCCTATTTGGGACAGCCAAATAGGACTTGAAATGAGAAATGAGAGTCTTGGCAGATATGATTCTTTACCTTTTTGCAGTCACAGGTATTTTCAAAATTTAATGTAAACTATAAACCTTGTTCTTGGGGGAAAAGATGTAGATACATTAAGAATTTTGGCCAGGCGTAATGGCTCATGCCTGTAATTCCAACACTTTGGGAGGCTGGGTCGGGCAGATCACCTGAGGTCAGGAGTTCGAGACCAGCCTGGCCAACATGTCAAAACCCCGTCTCTACTAAAGATACGAAAATTAGCTGGGCATGGTGGTGCATGTCTGTAGTCCCTGCTACTTGGGAAGCTGAGGCAGGAGAATTGCCTGAACGTGGGAGGTGGGGATTGCAGTGAGCTGAGATCGCACCACTACACTCCAGCCTCGGTGAAGAGCAAAACTCCTTTTTAAAAAAAAAAAAAAGAAAGAAAAAAAAGAATTATGCATTCAGTTTCATTCAGTCCTGAAATATGGACACCTGATCAGGAGTCTGTGCTAAATCTCCTACCCCAGGGACTCATCCACTTTCAGCTGACCATTTTCATATGACTTGTTTCTGCATATAAAGGGAGAGGAAAAGAGCCTCTGGCCTTTCTGTGTCCCCAGGTGTCCCTTACCCGAAACCCCCCCAGCAAAAGTGAAGGCAGCGATGGTCGCTTCCTTATCTCCTACGATCGGACTCTGGTCATCAAAGAAGTATCCAGTGAAGACATTGCTGACATGCATAGCAACCTCTCCAACTATCATCAGGTCAGGCCTCTCTCTAGCCCCGTTCTTTCCCTCTCCTCCCTACCCACATATAGCTCAGCTGCTATCAGTAATAGATGCTGACTGGGGAGAAAACTCAGACCAGTACACAACTGGAATACATTGGATGACAGAATCCATAATCATCAGCCCTAAATGGGATAAGGGAAGCTATTCTGTCTGATAAGATTTACTTGGGAGTGTGGAGTTTCTGGAATGTTTTGGCAGTAAAAACACTCTTCTTGAATGTCTCTCTACTGAAGAAAAATTTCACCAAAATCAGTGAGGAAGGAATATATGAAGGGTCTAAAAGGAGTTTGGTTTATGCAACAAATATTGAATATCTCTTATTATTAGGTCCTATGTTAGTCAGTAGACAAGGAGGCAAACAAAGCAGTCATGGCCCTTACAGATCTCTTGGTCTAATGGCAGTGACCAGTGACCCAGTATGAGCACACAGCAAGATGTGTACAATAGAAGTAGTCTGTACAGAATGCTCTGAAGCTACAGAGAAGAGCATCCTAACTCACCTGGGGAAAGAAGTGTACTTGGGAGGCTAAAAACAGTTTTTTAGAGGAGATACTGTGAGAGTTGATCCTTGAAGGACTAGTAGGGGTTAACCATTGGACAGGATAGAAGAGCATTCTAGGCAAAGGAAAACAGCACTTGCAAAGGCACAGAGCCATGAGAGAACTCTGTGTTAGGAAACTGCAAGAAATTCCATTTGGATGGGATATAGTGTTATGGAGATAGGCAGGAGCCAGATTGTGAAGAGGCTTATAAGCCCCACAAAGAACTTTGGGCTTTATCCTGAAGGTGGTTTTGCAAGGGGAGTGATATATTTGTTATTTAGAAATATTTAGAAAACGTGACAGCATTTTAGAGAATGGATTGGTGAGAGGGAACACTCGGAGTGTGGATACCAGTTAGGAGGTAATTTTAATAGTCCAGGGTGGAAATGATGAAGGCCTGGGAGAACAATGGTGATAGGGATAGAAAAGAAGACCTATGGGAGAATTGTGAGAGTTAAGACAAGGGGTTGGGCGCAGTGGCTCACGCCTGTAATCCTAACACTTTGGGAGGCTGAGGCAGGTGGATTGCCTGAGCTCAGGAGTTCGAGACCAGCCTGGGCAACACGGTGAAATCCCTTCTCTACTAAAATACAAAAAATTAGCCAGGCATGGTGGCCTGTGCCTATAGTCCTAGCTACTCGGGAGCTGAGGCAGGAGAATTTCTTGAACCCAGGAGGCGGAGGTTGCAGTGAGTGGAGATTGTGCCACTGCATTCCAGCCTGGTGACAGAGTGAGAGTCCATCTCCAAAAAAACAAACAAAAAAAGACACATATGGTCCCAGTTCCTGGTTAGGGATAACTGGTGCCCATTCACCAGAAATTAGAAATGAGGAACAGGCTTTTGAAGGAAGAAAGTTCTGATTTGGACATATTGAATTTGACATTTGTGCAATTCATCCAGATAAGGATGTCCAGTAAATGGTTGGGGTATGGATATGGAATTCAGGAAAGAGGATTAGACTGGGAATATAGGTTTGAAAGTTATACGTGAATAAATGATCATTAAAACCACGACTATAGATGCAATTATTGTAGAGAGGTGTGTGTAGTGAAATAAAAAGAAGGTTGAGGACAGAACCTGAAGGAGCAAGTGAAGAAACGAGCCCATAAAAGAATAGATGGAAACTTTTAATTATTTATGCCATGCTACATTCCATACAGGATTTGAGGACAAAGAGAAGGGGAATCAGGAGAGTGGTATAAGAAGAGCTGAGGATTGCCGGGCGCGGTGGCTCACGCCTGTAATCCCAGCACTTTGGGAGGCCGAGGCAGGTGGATCACAAGGTCAAGAGATCGAGACCATCCTGGTCAACATGGTGAAACCCCGTCTCTACTAAAACTACAAAAAAATTAGCCGGGCATGGTGGCGCGTGTCTATAGTCCCAGCTACTCAGGAGGCTGAGGCAGGAGAATTGCCTGAACTCAGGAGGCAGAGGTTGCGGTGAGCCGAGATCGTGCCATTGCACTCCAGCCTGGGTAACAAGAGCGAAACTCCGTCTCAAAAAAAAAAAAAAAAAAGAAGAGCTGAGGATCAAGAGAGTTTTAAAGGGAGACTGGTCAATAGGATCAGGTGCGACAAAGCTGAAATATGACAATAACTAGAATATTTATTAGATTTGACAACTGAGGGATTTGGGGGAGATTTCAGAGGAGAAATGAGGTATAAACCTGATTTCAGTGATTCAAGGTGTGAATGAGAGACAGGAAATGGATTGATTGCTGATTGCTTTTCTCAGAAGGTTGGCTATGAAGAGAAAGAGGCAGCAACACAGAGAGAAAAAGAGATGGTAAACAGTGAAGGAGTTATTATTTTTTTAAGAGACAGGATCTCACTGTGTTGCCCAGGCTAGTCTCAAACTCCTGGGCTTAAGTGATCCTCCTGCCTGAGCTCCCCAACTAGCTGGGATTACAGGTGTGAGCCTGGCTTAATAGAATATTTTTTTAAGAATCCAAATTGTGGGCTGGTTGTGGCGGCTCATGCCTGTAATCCCAGCACCTTGGGAGGCCGAGGCAGGTGGATCACAAGGTCAGGAGATCGAGACCATCCTGGCTAACAAGGTGAAACCCCTTCTCTACTAAAAATAGAAAAAAGTAGCTGGGCGTGGTGGCGTGCACCTGTAGTCTCAGCTACTTGAGAGGCTGAGGCAGGAGAATTGCTTGAACCTGGGAGGCAGAGGTTGCAGAGAGCTGAGATCGTGCCACTGCACTCCAGCCTGGGCAACAACAACAACAACAAAAAGAATCCAAATTGTAGGCAGTCATGCAGACTTTTTTTTTTTTTTTGCAGGTATAAAAATCTGTTATTTATATGCAATGACAGAATGACACAGCACAGCCCAACCCATCGCAGACATTTTAAACTATGGGAATCTAGCCTAGGAAGAAACACTGCTCTAGATAAAATGATTTAATTGATAAGAAGGTGTAAGCTCTAATCCTGGTTCTGTGACCACTTGCATATAGAGGGTCTAAAATAAGGATAACAACACTTACCTTTCCTTGTCTCAAAGAATGAGAAAGGTGAATCGAGAGATGACACTTTAAAATTAAGAGACGTACAAATGGAAGAAATCAGAGGAACGGGGGATTCAAAAATGGAATGGATTATCTGGAGTGTTCTGGGGAAGCTTCCATCACTTTTGAGTTTGTAACCTCTCTACTTGAAGTCTTCTGCTCCACCCTGGAGCAGAAGTTTGAATTCCCACCCCTGGGCTGTTTGTGTATCTGCTATTCAGCCTCTCCCCATTCCTTACCCCTCTTTCACCATAGTACATTGTGAAGTGCCATGGCAACACGCTTCTGCCCCAGTTCCTGGGGATGTACCGAGTCAGTGTGGACAATGAAGACAGCTACATGCTTGTGATGCGCAATATGTTTAGCCACCGTCTTCCTGTGCACAGGAAGTATGACCTCAAGGTAAGAAGCGGATAGCTCAGGCTTAGAGGGAGGCTCCTGATAGCCTGAGAACGGGGAAGACCCTGGGAGGTCTTTGGATGATTCTTTTTAAAGGAAAGAAGGCTGGATTTGAGTACTCGTCTTAGGAGTTGGGTTCTGACTCTTCTTTTAGCCACTTCTACTAACTTAGTTTTGGGTCTTTCTGCAGGGTTCCCTAGTGTCCCGGGAAGCCAGCGACAAGGAAAAGGTGATACTAATTTTATGTGCTAGGGTAAGGGGTGAGGGATGAAGGAGGGCAGATGAGGGGAACTTCTTAGGATGGAGAGGCCACTCTATATAGGAATAGGGATTACTAGCTATTTATTATCTTAAACCATTTAAAAGAAGAAGGGGTAAACTTCTGTTGATCTGGGGATTGTTTGGAGGGGCAGTGGGAGCAGCTGCTTTAACATTGACCTGGGTTATTCCATACAGAAGGCTTGGGGATAGGTGAGGATGCCAGACTTTTAAGAGCAAAATGTTTAACTTCCACTTCCCATTCTGGGTTATTTTATTCAGGGAGCTACTTTTGCTTAAGAAGAAACAGGCCGGGCATAGTGGCTCATACATATAATCCCAGGACTTTAGAAGGCCAAGGCAGGGGGACTCTTGAGCCCAGGAGTTCCAGACCAGCCTGGGCGACATAATCTTTACAAAAATCAAAAAAATTAGCCAGGCCTGGTGGCACGGGCCTGTAGTCCCAGCTACTCAGGAGGCTGAAGTGGGAGAATCACTTGAGCCCAGGAGGTTGAGTCTACAGTGAGCTGAGATCACACCACTTACATTCCAGCCTAGGCAACAGAGCGAGATTCTATCTCAGAAAAAAAAAAAGGAGGGTCTTGGCTGAAAATCATAAGCAGAGAGTAGTGGGATGTGATTTGATTTGGGATACAGCTGTAGTGACTGGAGTTGAGAACAAATCAGGGAAGCATCACAGTGTGGGGAGTTAGATGAGCTCTCTTTGCTAGAGGGTACTGAGCTAGACAGAAAGTGAAGTTCTGAGACCTTGGGCAAGAGATGTGTTCCCAAGATGTCCCTTTACCTATTCTTAGGTTAAAGAATTGCCCACGCTTAAGGATATGGACTTTCTCAGCAAGAACCAGAAAGTATATATTGGTGAAGAGGAGAAGAAAATTTTTCTGGAGAAGCTAAAGAGAGATGTGGAGGTGATGATTGGGTGCTCTGGGAAATGGCTTTGTTTCCTTTTTTTTGCTCCCTCTAGGATACTTGACTCTTTAATTCACAGTATGAGGGAGCTCTCCCCTTCCCTTTATTATTCAGGTCCTCTGCATGTATGAGGATTGGGTATGAGACGCGAAAAACCCCTAGAGCTGACCCATGGAAGGGGTGACTAGAATAAACTAAAAGGATGATCTTAGACACCAGGACATATAGGCACTGAAGGGCAGTGGTATGCCCTGCAACCTCAATTTTTACACTTCCTTTCCCCAGGAGGGCCCCAGAAGTTCAAAGGTAGAGGTACAGGGGTGGTACCTCATGAAGGGGGAGAGAGAGGTGTCTGATTTGTCAGTGGGTCTCAGTTTCTAGTGCAGCTGAAGATCATGGACTACAGCCTTCTGCTGGGCATCCACGACATCATTCGGGGCTCTGAACCAGAGGAGGAGGGGCCCACGCGGGAGGATGAGTCAGAGGTGGATGGGGACTGCAGTCTCACTGGACCTCCTGCTCTGGTGGGCTCCTACGGCACCTCCCCAGAGGGTATCGGAGGCTACATCCATTCCCATCGGCCCCTGGGCCCAGGAGAGTTTGAGTCTTTCATTGATGTCTACGCCATCCGGAGTGCTGAAGGTGGGAACTGGGACAATTTAAGGGTGGAGACGGGATTGTTCTTGGGGGACAGAGACCCAGGGGAGAGCCTGGTTAGCTTTTCAGAACAAAACTGGCTGGTTCCTGGAGAAAGGGAATTGGAACTAAACCTGCCCTGAATTGTTGGTCTCTCTCCCAGGAGCCCCCCAGAAGGAGGTCTATTTCATGGGCCTCATTGACATCCTTACACAGTATGATGCCAAAAAGAAAGCAGCTCATGCAGCTAAAACTGTCAAGCATGGGGTGAGAGTTCCTGAAAGCCTTTCCTTTCCTGTCTTGATATTCTTTGGGAAGAGAGAGCCTCTTTTGCTAGAGCAATGGGGTAGCAAAAGGATGGAAGTGGTCTGCGGTAGACTGGGTGGGTGATGGGGATGGGTACTGCGGTGGCCTGACACATTGTTCCACATCTCCTCTCACAGGCTGGGGCAGAGATCTCTACTGTCCATCCGGAGCAGTATGCTAAGCGATTTCTGGATTTTATTACCAACATCTTTGCCTAAGAGACTGCCCGACTCTCCCTGATGTTCAAGGTGGTAGGGTTCTGAGAGGCTGGGGGGAATTGTGGATATTCTAGCCACCACATCTCTTCTTCTTTTGCTAAATTCAGGCTGCAGGCTCCTTCCATCCAGATAACTCCATCCTGTTTAGTAGGCTTCTGACCCTCAGAAATACATTGTCCTTTCTCCCCTTTGCCCATTTTTCTCCCCTCTCTCCCTCCCCCCAAGAAGTCTGCTTGTATTATTAGAATGTTATTGTTGATTCTCTCCCAAGTGCCTTGATCTTTGTAAAATCTCCTGTTGTTTCTATGATATAGGAGCTGGGGGAAGGGGGTTGTTTGCCATCTTCAGGACCTGACTGGACAGATGGACCTGGCTCAAGCAACTACTCTGGATGCACTTTGCTGTGTGGGATGAACTAAAAGTGTCTGAATTTTGCTGATAACTTTATAGAACTCACTATGGCATGCTTCCCTCCCAGTGGGCCCTAGGATGGAGGACAGTCAAGATACTACAGATGTGGGTACAGGCATGCACACACACGATGGAATATGGCCAGCCCTACACAGGTGGGGTAGAGAGTGGGTCAGCAGCCTGGCACCTCACAGAGGTGGGGCCTACGAGGATTCTTGTGATTATGCAGAGAATTGGATTGGGTCTCTGTCAGAGATGGAGTAATCTCTTCCCTCACCTTAGTTCGATCCCCACCCATCTCTACTTCTGGACACAGGAGCCCAGAGATGGCCAAAAGCATTCAAGCCTGGGGGAGAGTGTTTGACTATTGCTGCTCTTCACCAGAACCTCACACCTCTCCTGGGACTGGAACCCTTCAGTGGGTGTGTGGCCAGTTCTGGAGGCTGGGATTCTGGGCCAGGATGTAAGGTTCATTCTCCACGTTAAGTTTCCTTTCAGCCAGGTGCAGTGGCTCACGCCTGTAATCCCAATACTTTGGAAGGCCAAGGCAGGCAGATCACCTGGGTTCGGGAGTTCGAGGCCAGCCTGATCAACATGGAGAAACCCCATCTCTACTAAAAATACAAAATTAGCCAGGCATGGTGGCACATGCCTGTAGTCCCAGCTACTTGGGAGGCTGAGGCAGAAGAATCGCTTGAACCCAGGAGGTGGAGGTTGCGGTGAGCCAAGATGGTACCATTGCACTCCAGTCTGGGTAACAAGAGTGAAATTTCATCTCAAAAAAAAAAAAGTTTCCTTTCATCCTGCCTAGCCATCCCGAAGGTATATTTTCAGAAGAAGGGAATATCTCTACTTGGATCAATTCTGGTCATTTCAAGAGGATGGAGGCCTCAGTGTGGGAACCTCCCCTACTCCCTGGATGTGTGTGCCTAGCACACTTCCTTCTCCCACCCCTTCTTAAAACCTTTTTCCAGTTGGATTTGTTGTTCTGTTCTCTTCTGTCCTGTCTTATACTGCTACTGTGTCTCTTAGGGGACAGATGGCCTTCTTTGTCATCTTCACTCTCCACCCCCAGAGAGGAGTCAGAGCCATAACTCAATCACTCAGCCCCTCCAAAGATAGTTGAGTTGATGATGTGTGATATTCTCATAATGTTAAGAACCCTGATGAGATACATTGTCTTCCCCACCCTACAATGCCTCTGGAGCCACGGCACCCATTCATCTTGCTATCCTCCATCCCCCCCTTTTTAAAAAAAAAAAAAAAAAAAGCTTCTACTTTTTTTTTTTTTTTTTAACCTTAAGATGGGCACCAGCAACTGGCCTGTGGTGATGCAAAGCTGCTTTGCTCTGTATCTGGCTGGACCGATCTGTCTCCCAAGAAGCCATGAGACAATAGGGAGAAGCTCTCTCTCCTCTTCATCTTCTGCTCCAAAGGAGGTAGCAAGAGGAGTACCCAGTTAGGGGTGGGAGCCCCTATAACGTCTTCCTGTCAGGAGACTAATGGATCTTTTTCATTCCAACCATCTCCCTTCCCCCAGTGAATGCAATAAAACTTTGTGACACCAGCAACTGTTGTTCTTTAGAAATGGGTTTTCTGATCACATGGCTGATGTATTATGGGCAGTATGGATATCTTCATTTGTTGCTTCTGTTTCTCATCTTTTTTGTTTTATTAATAAAAATTTGTGTATTTGCTCCCATTGCTATCATAATACAGGGAATAAATTATTCAATCCAAATTCCTGTACAGAAATACTTTTTTTTTTTTTTTTTTCAACATTTCACTTCTCTGAGGAAGCCTGTGCTTAAGGGTGCAGAGACCAGCTGAAGAATTCTGGTGTTCAAGGTGTTGGGCCCCTAACTAAGGATGTGGGTTTCTAGATAGATGGCTGTGAACTTTTTTAAAAGGCTGTGAAGGGTGTGCATGGGCATGGAAAGCTTAGTCTTTAACCTTGTGGCAGGTCAGCGGTAGTGAGGGCCAGGGAAGAGTAGGGTGATGGGACCCTTCCTCTTCCCAGAGTTCTGGGCTTGGCTAACACTCCATTTTGGCAAAGGTGAATGAGTAGGCCTCTCAGCCCACCTGCTAAAAGAAAAGGAATTCAGTATTCCCCCCGGCTTCCTGGGAAAGCTGTCCTCTTCCCGGAGGGAAGGAAGAGTACAGCTGCAGCAGGGTCCTGGGAAAGTGAAGAAAGTGACCAGCCCTCCAGTCTAGAGGGGGAGTGAAAAAGGGGTGGATGAATAGAGGTTGTTGCCAGTTTGGGAGATTCCTGTCTTGGCTGAGAAAGTCTTTTGGCTGGTGGAAAAACCTGGCTTGATGTGGCCTCAGGGAAGTGAGTTGGATTGGGGGCGGAGACTGCTTGAAGTGGGAAGCAGAGCAGAGCTTTTTTTCTTTGAGAGTTTTTAACTCTATTTGAACCGTACACTTGACACAACCACCACCCCAAGCCACTTTTTAAAAAATGCATTCACTTCCCATTCTGCACCAGCCTCCATATCCATTTGTGGAAAGAGAAAATCAGAGGCACTTACCAACGACCATCTGAGAGCAGGTTGTGGGGGTCACAGGAGGTAACAATCTAGAAAGAGGCAGGAGATGAGGGAGGGGATTGAAATAGTTTAGTACCGGGATTTGTTTATTTTTCAGAACCAATGCTTTTCTTTTTACTATGACTCTCCCCATCCCACATTGTTCCTCAAAGGCCCTTCTACCATAAGGATTCAAAAAATTGCCGCCCTCCCCCCGAATCCCCATATACCCACCAACACTTCTCCCCCCCATCCACCACCAGCTCCCGGGAGCTGCTACGCAGCTGGCTGGGAAAGAAAAGGGAGAGTGCTCCGCCGGGAGGCGGGAGCGAGAAGGGTGGCGTCTCCAGGGATTTAACCTCCTACCCTCAGTTCCGTGACGCCACCCCCTCCCTCCAAAGACTGGGACAGCTCCTCCATTTTTGTTTTGGGGAGGAAGAGCAGGGGCTTGCGGATAGAGGGGGGTCAAAGGGAACGGTGATTATCACCTGTGAGGGGAAAGGGGGTGCTGTCCTCCCTCCTTCCCTTTCCATCAGCCTGCACCCCCTGCAACCCCCCACCTTCTCGGGGTCTCCCCCCGCCTTGTTGCTAAGGCCCGGACCGTCATCCCAGCAACAGCCTCAGTCATGTGACCGGCAATGGCGGCGCTGACGAGAGGTAGGTGAGCCCGGCGCCCCCCACACCCACCGCGCGCCCTCCAGGCCCCGCTCGCACCCCCCACACGCCCCCCGCTCCCCCGGCGCCCCCTCTTCCCCCTCCCTCCCCGCGTGCGGCTCCGGGCCCCCAGCTCCGGGCCCGGGCGATCATCTTTCTAGCACCCTCCAGTCTTGGCCTCTATTCGGGGGTTCTGAGAGCTGCGATCGGGCCGACCTGCACCCCCACCCGGGGGTGGGGTCCGGGGGCTTTGGCGAGTGAGGGATGTGGGGAGTTGGTTCCGGGTCGGGTGTTGCAGGAGGCCGTGGGGGGAGGGCTGGAGCGGCCTCAGTGGATGCCCCCAGGGACCCTTGCCCTTCCCGGCTGTCCCTCCCTCCGGCCTCGGTCTGGAGGGAGACTGGTCCCTTGTCCGGCCTGGGTTGCCACAGAGGAATCACAGACCCACCCTAAACTGTGGCCCCGCCTCCCTTTTCTGTGCCAGCAGGACTTGGAGCTAGGACACCTAGGTCCTGGGTCCCCTGTGATGAGGAGGGAGGTGTTGCATCGCGGGTAGACTGTATGGGCTGAGGATCTAGGGTTCCATTTTCACTTTATGAATCTCAAGGTGCCTCTGGCCTTGGGGGACGATGATAGAGGCATGAAGGGACAGCCGCTCCTTTTTGGATCAGTCAATAAATGGAGGTCACACGAATGGCCCCTCTTTCTGTTTGAGCTGCATTGGGAGGTGTTCTGGGGACAGCCCTGTAGCCCAATGCGACCAGACTCAGGGGAAACATCAGGCCCCTCCAGCTGAGCCCTTGTGTGAGCCCCGCCCCTCCCTAAATACCAGACTAGGGAGCTGACAGACAGCCCTGCCTGTGCTGGGTTTAAAAGGTGACAATGAGAACTTTGTTATTGCGGGGGCTGCTGCCACTTTGTTCACCTCTTTAACAGACTTCAGCGGAAGGGACTGACTTAGCTCTCAAGGAAGGCTCCCTGGCAATAGGGGCTGAATTATTTGGGAATATGGAGCAGCGCAAGGAATTGGGAACATAGGAAATATTCCAGTCCATGTGATCTGAGGGAGGTGTCAAGAAGACCTCCACCTGTGTGGGCTTTTTTTCCCCTGGCTTCTCTTATGTGTGCCCTAGGCTTTCTTGGGGGCCTCAGAGCTGGGGAAGAAAGGAGGAAGGTTAGCATGTTGAAGTTCCTTCTTGAGCAACTTGGGGAGAAGCTGAGGATGGAATTCTGCAGAGGAGAGAGGAAATGGAAGGGGAGTTTTTATTTCCTGGTTGGCTGAGGGAAATGGTAACATTTGCCATCATAACTTTTTACCCTTCTCCCACTCCCAGGCCTGGTCAGCTGAGTGGAGATAGAAGGATTTCTGCTGCCATCATCTTCCATGGGCTTTCCAGGTACCTCCCCCACAAGGGATCCTCAATGTTCACCCTTAAACTGGTTTCCTTCATTCCATGTTCCAAGTAATCCCATTCCCAGTAACCTATGCCCAGGTTTCTGTCTCTGTTCCATGGGCTGCTGGGTTGGGGGCCAGGGGAATTGGGAGAAGGGGTTTCTCACTTTCCTTCCTTTTTTACGCCCTGCCAGGTCACACGACCTACAAGTAGGGAGCAGGGAAAAAGGAGTGAGCCTGCATGCCAATTCTAAGCTCTTCAGGATCAAAGTAAGCAAAAAGGAGGGCAAAAAGTCTCCCTCCCCTTTAAAGAAACCATTGTCCCCCGGAGGCGGGAGGGGCAAATTGTTTCTATGATCTGGGAGAAATGACAGGAGAAACAAGACCGATGCTTGGCTTAGATGATTAGACGGTTCTGGAAACTTGCTTGGTCTTCAGTGGGCTTTGGAAGATAAAGGGAGATAGAATATGAATTTGGGGGAAGGGTTGGGGGTTAGGCTTTGAGAAAACAGGTAATAGAGGGCTTGGAAAGAGCCTGAAATAGGAGGCACTGATACTTGTCAAATGGGGACCCCCCACCCTGAGTCCCTTTCACCCTGGGGGCAGTGTCGTTCGTCCTGTCCAGAATGGCAGCCTGTGGAGGCACCTGCAAGAACAAAGTGACTGTCTCCAAGCCTGTGTGGGACTTCCTGAGCAAGGAGACCCCAGCCCGGCTGGCCCGGCTTCGGGAGGAGCACCGTGTGTCCATCCTCATAGATGGCGAGACTTCTGACATCTATGTTCTCCAGCTTTCCCCACAGGGCCCCCCCCCCGGCCCCTCCCAATGGGCTCTACCTAGCCCGGAAGGCTCTCAAGGGGCTGCTAAAAGAGGCAGAGAAAGAGCTGAAGAAAGCTCAGAGGCAGGGGGAGCTGATGGGTTGCCTGGCTCTGGGGGGTGGAGGGGAGCACCCTGAGATGCACCGCCCAGGCCCACCCCCTCTCCGAGCAGCCCCACTTCTGCCCCCAGGGGCTCGGGGGCTCCCCCCTCCTCCTCCCCCGCTGCCCCCACCTCTTCCTCCTCGCCTTCGGGAGGAGGCAGAAGAGCAGGAGAGCACCTGCCCCATCTGTCTGGGGGAGATCCAGAACGCCAAGACATTGGAGAAGTGCCGGCATTCATTCTGCGAGGGCTGCATCACCCGGGCTCTGCAGGTGAAAAAAGCCTGCCCCATGTGTGGCCGCTTCTATGGGCAGCTGGTGGGCAACCAGCCCCAGAATGGGCGGATGCTGGTCTCTAAGGACGCCACCCTCCTACTGCCCAGCTATGAGAAGTACGGCACCATCGTCATCCAGTACGTCTTCCCGCCCGGTGTCCAGGGGGTAAGAAAACTGTGGCCTGCCCTTACCCTTTGGTTTTCCCCAACCTCTGACCTAGGAAAACCGGGTGAGGGTGCATGTGCTTGTTAGATGTGAGACAGTCTTGCTGTCCTCCTCTATGCCCTCCTACTCAGTGCCCTGGAGCTAGGAGGTCCCGGTGAGGCCCAGCTTTTCCATCCCTGTGATCCTAAGTCACACATGAAAATCAGATATGAGCTAGGAAAAAAAAAGCAAATCAGATATGAGAGAAAGGAATTACATATTATTTCCTTGGTGAACATAAATACTGTGGTGACATTTGGCAGAGGTAAATTCTGTGGAGGTGGTGGCTTAGGGGCAGGCAGGCACAATAGGAAGGGATCTGACAACCCAACAGAGCCAGGAGCATCTCTCTGTGTCAGATGCATGAGAGCAAAACCTTGATGCCAGTGGAAGGTTAAAACAGGAGTGGTCAAGGGCCTCTAGGTGTCTTCCTGCTGGACAAAGAGTAATGTGGAATTCCGGGTGCAGACGGGTAAAGAAGCTGCACAGAAGAGTAGTGGAAGATGGAACAGGTTAGACAGTGGCAGAAATATTAGGAGTATTTTCAGGTGAAGGGAAGGCTGAAGGATAGATCATTCTGTCTTTACATTTCTGCTGAGTTGTCTGGAGGGTAGGGACCAGCCACCTTCCATCACTTGCGAGAATCCATTTGTTGCTGAATGGAGACTTGAGGGATTGAGACAGCAGGAAAAACCTCTTAACACATAGAGATTATGTCCTGAAACACGCTCTGGCTGCCCAGGCTCTATAATCTCTCCTTCTTTGGAAAGCTGTCAGCCTGTTGCTGCCCTGTTCGTATTAGCTGGGGGTGCTGAGACAGAGGCTGGCCACTTCCACTGACATCTGGGCCTTGGGATGGCTGGCTGCTCACTGCCCACTCTGCTTCACCTTCCTCCCAGGCTGAACACCCAAACCCAGGAGTTCGGTATCCTGGCACCACACGGGTGGCCTACCTCCCGGACTGCCCTGAGGGCAACAAGGTGCTGACCCTGTTCCGCAAGGCATTTGACCAGCGTCTCACCTTCACCATCGGCACGTCCATGACCACAGGGAGACCGAATGTCATCACCTGGAACGACATCCACCACAAGACCAGCTGCACAGGGGGACCCCAGCTGTGCGACCCCTCTTCACTTCCTTTCCCTTGGCTCCTCCCCTTTGCTCAGTTTCCACTGAGGGAACCACCAACCCCCTTGCTCTGGGAGCCTCCTAACTGGAGAGGACCACTTCCAAACTGTTCAGCCATCTCAGTTTCTCCTTCATTCAACCTGGCCCTGATGTGCCCAGCTTAACCTACAAAAATAAGCAGAATTGGGCTAAGTTATCTTGGGTTTGGAGGTGTCCCCCCTTAGGGGAGGTGGGGAGGTGTTTTGAGCTACCTAGACTGAGGGTAAGCATGGGGATAATAGCAAGTTCAAACAGCTAACAACCCTCACCCTCATTTCTCTTTGCTCCCAGGTTTGGGTACCCGGACCCCACCTACCTGACCCGGGTGCAAGAGGAGCTGAGAGCCAAGGGTATTACAGATGACTGAAAGACATCCCCTTTGCCAAGGCCCCTGCTGTCCACCTCTACTAGGATCCAGCAGAAGCCTCTGTTCTCCTCTCTGTCCCCTGCCCCCAACACCACACCTGTAGGGGAACTGTCTAATTGGGAAGGGAGTTCAGAGTGGGAGGGGGGCAATCCCTTCCCCCGTCCTCCACTGGCCAAGTGTTTCAGTGCAGTGTGAGTCACTCCCTTCTGGCAGAGGCCGACCTCCAAGGCCCTGTTCCCTGCTCCCCATGTACATATACTCCCGGTTTCCCTGCCCCTCCATTGCCCTTGGCTTTTTCTGGTATGTGCTGTGCTCCACGATCAAGCTGAGAAAGGACCTAGGATGGGGAAGGGAGGGTCTGTTGATCCCCCACCACCCCCACTTAATGCTCCACTGCTGAACTTGGGGTGCAGGGGAGGAGGAATTGGCCTGATGTAAGCTCCCTGCCACCCCCCATGGAGCTGGCTGCCTGTGTTCATCAGATTCTCCCTCAACCTTGTCCTTTCTCGCCTGTGTCTCAGTCTCTGTCAGTCTCTTTCTCCGCTCTTCTCTGACCCCTTTGAGGAACCTCCTTACCCTGTTCTGGAATCGCTGCCAGACTGTAGCTTTTAATTTAATAAAAATAAAGTAAAATATGCAACTCTTTATGCCACACCCGTTATTTTCCAGGGACCGGGTGAGGGTGGGGTGGGGAGCGGGACCTGCTGGAAAGCGGGGAGGGGTGCTGAGGCGATCCTGCTTCCCTCCCAGTTCCCCCAGCCTCCTGAGGACCTGTGGAAGCGGGATGCACCAGCGGGTTCTGTAATAACACTGCGAAGCCCTGGGTCACACTTCGATGTTGGAATTAGGATTAAGAGGGTTTTGTTGTTGTGCAACTATGGTTGTAGAGAAAAGAACAACCCTACCCACTTTGCGAAGTTTGGCTGGGGTGGGAGTGGGGGCGGAGCCAGGCAGGGGGTGGATTCCGCAGCAGCAACTCCCCGGACGCGCAGGCCTCAAAGCCCCCCAGCTTCCGTGCCCCCTCGACCCTGAAACTTGGAGCAGGGTAGGGGTTCAGTATGAAGCCCCCGGACCGCCCCGCCCCTGGCCGCACTGACCGGATACTGGGGGTCATGGGGGGCATGCTGCGCTCATGCGCCCTCCCCGGGCAGGAGGGGGTAAGAATGGGGGCCCGCGGTGGGGTCGGGGTCTTTCGGGGCCTTCAGGAGGGCTGCACTCACTACTCAATATATCCGAAAACGAGTTCTGCGGGACAGTCGCAGGAATCCATGAGTTCCATTAAGAGGGCCATAGCCCCGTTCTAGGAGACCCTTTTATAATAATGCGGATTTTGACAGGTGAAAGAAGGGGAAGGGGGAGGTCAGGGCTACCCAGGAGGGCGGGCTCCTTACAGTGGTTCTGTGCCCCCAGCCCCCGAGGAGAAGCCCCCTAGGGTCGGGGGGTACCGAGCCAGAGTCTGAACGTACGGAGGGAGAGCACAGAAGGAATCGCGAACATGAGGTCCTCCCCTGGGCTCTGCAGCCCGGTAAGAAGCTGGGGGTGGGGTGGGGCACAGTTTGCCATCCTGCGTCAACTGACGAATTCAAAAATATTCTGCTCTTATTAGCATAAAGTTCGCATCTAATTAGCATGAGACCCGTTTAATCGCTGAGACCTCCACTATTCTCGCCCTCGAGTTCGATGTGTGCCCCTATCTCAGCCTGCCCCAAGCCCCCGCAGGCGGAGTGTCCCCGCGCCCCACCCCTGGCCCCTCGCCAGCCCGGGCTCCACGACTTCGCCTTAATTGGCCATTAGTCTAAGCTGGAGTCCCCGGGCCTGGAGGAAAGAAGGTCCTGAGACAGGGCGGCACTTGCGTTGTGTTCCCCCACGAAGAGCTCCCCATACACGCACCCCATACCGGGGGGGCCTTTCTCCATCCCCGCGAGGCCGGGACAGCCCCAAACCCAGGACGTCTTCGCACAGGCCAAGGCCCCATCCACTGAGTCCTTCTTCACCGCAGAGGCCAAGGGGAGACCTGGGCAGACCCTGCCGACAGGCTGAACCCCAGCCCCAGCGCTCCGCAGAGCCCGGGATGCGGGAGGGAGGGGGACGCCGGTGGGGGGAACCCGGGCTGGGGAGGGGAAAAAGCGCTGGGGACGTGGAGTGGGAACTTGGTGGTGCCTGGGGGAGGGGCGATCGGGGCGGGAGCCCGGCGCAGGCTGGAGGGGGAACGCGAGGGAGAGGGCGGAGCTGGGGCGCAGAGGCCCCGCCCCGTGGCGGCCCCGCGGCCCGGCCTGTTATTCCGCTTGCCGCTCCGCTGGGACCCGCACCGCGCCAGTGGCTCGGGGGTCGGCCCCCGCCTCCTCCCCGGCCCGGGCCTAGAGACACCCCCAACCAGAGGCCGGAGACAGCTGGAGCGGCTGCCGCATCCCGGCCCAGCCTCCCCTACCATCCCTCCCCCCTCCACTGGACATCTGGACCCTGGGCCCGCGCACCGACAGGGTTCCGGAAACCCTCCCCGCCCAGTCCGGCGGCCGGGGCCCGCGCCTCCCTCTCTCCAGAGCCCCCCAGCACGCCTCAAGACTAGACTTCCTCCTACCCCTGGACACCTCCTCCCGGTCCCCTCCCTCCCCCAGTCCCACAGCCTGGACCAGGGTAGGAGGGAGGGGGGGTGTGCGCCCGGCGCCGTCCCCGCCCCGCCCCCCTTGATTCCCCCTGCATGGCCGGCCCGGGTGGGGGGCGAGGGGGGGCCGGGGCGCCATGCGGGGGGAGCCCAAAGGGGGTCGCTGTGCCTGTCCCCGTGTGATCCGAAAAGTGCTGGCAAAATGCGGCTGCTGCTTCGCCCGGGGGGGACGTGGTGAGTGCCAGGTCGAAAGGACCCAGTGTTGAGTGGGGGGGCGGGCTGGGGGTTCACGGCTTCTGTTTGCCCTGGCCCTCCGGATTTATGTGTTTTCCAGGAAAGTGTTTTCTTAAGCGATCTCTAAGGTCCCTTCTGCCTCCAAATTTCTATTAGTTCAAGTTAAGGAAATTGGGGAAGGGGCAGGGAACTCAACTCTTTCCCTTAATCAAATGAGTTTGAGAAAAAACCCACCACAATCCCCTTAGGCCCAGAACCGGGTATCTTCCCTCAAACCTTTTGCTAAGAACCTACTTCTGAAGAGGGTCAGAGGAATGGAGGAATGAGAATGAGGGGGTTCTACAAGGGGCTTTATAAGGAATTATAGCTCATCTGTCCCTGAGCCCAGGCCAGAGATAACCCTGATGGACCCTCCTCACTGGCCTCCTCTATTGGGTCTATGCACGGGTTGGGGAGGTGGGCTGCAGAAGTCTTTTCTTTTTATAGTGATTACTGCAATTTGTGGAGGAGGGGACTGGGAGTGGCAGATGGACCCAGCTCATCCTCCCCCCTTCCCAGAGAATGGTCTGTACCCATTGAAAGGGGGAGGGTTGTAGGAGAGCAGATGGCCACCCCCAGCTTCCAGTGTCTGCCCAGATGGCTGCCCCCGCCCTCATATCTGTGCTATGCTCAGGATATGGGGAACCTCCACATGTAACTGGGGGTTCCAGGCCTGGAGAGCCAGGTGTTTACCTTACTGTGCTTTCTCCCAAGGGTGCCCCGGTGAAAATTTCTATCCTGGCCAACTCAAATGAGGATGGCAAGAGAGTGAGCCTTGGGAGAGAGAGGCTGAGCATCATGGAGAGGAGACCTGAGAGTTCGCTGGGACCCTGAGTCGGGAGCTGGGGCAAGGTCTATCACCTCCTTTCTTTTTCCTCCATTAGAATCCTATTCCATTGCTGGCAGTGAGGGGAGTATATCGGCTTCTGCTGCCTCCGGACTGGCTGCCCCCTCTGGCCCCAGCTCTGGCCTCAGCTCTGGCCCCTGTTCCCCAGGCCCCCCAGGGCCAGTCAGTGGCCTGAGGAAATGGTTGGATCATTCCAAACATTGTCTCAGTATGGAAACTGAGGCAGACAGTGGTCAGCCGAGACCATATGAGGTGAGCAGGGGATGCCACAGAAGCATGTAGGACATCCATGAAGGACACTGGCAGAGAGGGCAAGTTGGGGCCATCCAGCTACTGTCCCTGACCTCTGACACTTAATTTCTGGCCCCCAGAACTGGATGTTGGAGCCAGCTCTAGCCACAGGAGAGGAGCTGCCAGAACTGACCTTGCTGACCACATTGTTGGAGGGCCCTGGAGATAAGGCGCAGGTGTGAGGACAGGCTCTGGGGAGGCTCCTTTCTCTCAAGGGGCATTCATTTGCTCACCCTAGGATGCTCTTTCCTTCCAGCCACCTGAAGAGGAGACTTTGTCCCAAGCCCCTGAGAGTGAGGAGGAACAGAAGAAGAAGGCTCTGGAAAGGAGTATGTAAGTGTCCACAGCCCCTCCCTGCAGTTGCACACCTTCCAGAAGACTGTCCCTCACATTTTTGATGGAGTTTCCTCAGAAGTTGGCTATGATGATGAAGGGGAGGAATGAGGAACGGGCTGAACCAAGGATGCGCTCCAACGCTGAAGTGGGGGTGTCCTGCTTTCATCCTAGGTATGTCCTGAGTGAACTGGTAGAAACAGAGAAAATGTACGTGGACGACTTGGGGCAGATTGTGGAGGTAGCTCCTTTTACCCCTTCCCAGCCTGTCCCTCCTGCCCTTTCCATCTGCCCAGGGCTATTTTCAGGAGGTGCCTGGATGCTCCTCTGTCCCATCTCTCAAGCCTCCCCACTCCGGGACCTTCCTACTCTGGGGGCAGGGCGGCTCCCACCAGGGACAGGGAGGTGGAACACACCCTGGATAAGTGTACAGGAGCAGCATAAAGGTGGTGAGGCGGCCACCACATGCTCATGACCCAACCTCGACCTTCCCACAGGGTTACATGGCCACCATGGCTGCTCAGGGGGTCCCCGAGAGTCTTCGAGGCCGTGACAGGATTGTGTTTGGGAACATCCAGCAAATCTATGAGTGGCACCGAGAGTGAGTGGTGGAACCTGAGAGCCAGGTGCTGGGGGGGGCCTCCTCTGTATCCGTATCCCAACATCAGCCCACTGCGACTTAAGGAATGTTTGGAGAAGTTTTGTAGGGCACAGTACCAGGGAAGACAGCTCGAAACTGCGGGGAGTGGGCGAGGTAGGGGTTCTGAAATGTATTTGACCTGCCCTTCTCTACCAACCCCTCCAGCTATTTCTTGCAGGAGCTACAGCGGTGTTTGAAAGATCCTGATTGGCTGGCTCAGCTATTCATCAAACACGTGAGGCTTGAGGGGCGGGGCCTGGGCGGGGCTTAGGAATGAGTTGGGGTTCTCTGGAGATGTATCCTCCCTCCTTGCCTATCCTGCTCTCTCTTAAATATTACCCCTCTTAGGAGCGCCGGCTGCATATGTATGTGGTGTACTGTCAGAATAAGCCCAAGTCAGAGCATGTGGTGTCCGAGTTTGGGGACAGCTACTTTGAGGTCAGTGGCTGAGATGCCTTGGTAGGAAGGAGGACAGAATTGGGGCTCTCCAGGCTGTATAACCACCCTGTCCCTGTCCTCAGGAGCTCCGGCAGCAGCTGGGGCACCGCCTGCAGCTGAACGACCTTCTTATCAAACCTGTGCAGCGGATCATGAAATATCAGCTGCTGCTTAAGGTCAGGACTCCCTTTTTCCTTGGGGCACAGCTGGCTGGCACAGCCGTTTCCTTATTCATCTCCCTGGAGTTCTTACGGCTCCCCCAGACTTCCTGAGGGCCCTCAACCATGTCTTCATGGGAGGATGGCAGAGCTTCTAAGGGTGTCCTCGTGACCTCCCTGAGTGTTTCTTCTCTCTGTCTTAGGATTTTCTCAAGTATTACAGTAGAGCTGGGATGGATACTGCAGAGCTAGAGGTGAGGACCCCAGGCCTTCCAAGATGCACCATGTGCTCCTTATCCTCTTAGTCTCTCAGGGGTCCCCCCAGCCCCTTGGGTGTTTTACAGCTGTCTGGTTTTTAGTGGGAGGCTGGTTGGGGTTGAGACACCGTCTGAAGAGACAGCTGGCTCAGAAGGCCTCTTTCCCAATAATGACTCTCTTTGCCAACAATGCGCCTCCCTCACCTGTGTCCCAGCAAGCTGTGGAGGTCATGTGCGTTGTGCCCAAGCGCTGCAACGATATGATGACACTGGGGAGATTGCGGGGATTTGAGGTACGGAGATAGACAGGAAACTGGAGGCCCGATTCGCTTCTGCCCCAGTCATAGCGCTCTGGAGGTCCTTATGGGGAGTTGTCTTTTCCTGGGGCTGACCCCAAGGTTGGTTGGTTGGGCATGTCAGGCGAGGGAGGGAGGAACGGAGAATTGCCCTTTCTCTTCTTGCTGTTCTTCCGAGGCCACTATCCTTTTGGTTTCAGGGCAAACTGACTGCTCAGGGGAAGCTCTTGGGCCAGGACACTTTCTGGGTCACTGAGCCTGAGGCTGGGGGGCTGCTGTCTTCCCGGGGTCGAGAGAGGCGTGTCTTCCTCTTTGAGCAAATCGTCATCTTCAGTGAAGCCCTGGGAGGAGGAGTGAGAGGTGGAACACAGCCTGGATATGTGTACAAGAGCAGCATTAAGGTGGGGAGAGGGCCACGACAGAGGGCATGGACAGAGAGGGCATGAGGCCTCTGAGGGGATATCTCAGAGGAGCCAGAGAGGGCCTGAGGAATCTGGGGGCTGTCTCCTATCTGCCCATTCAGGTGAGCTGCCTGGGACTGGAGAGGAACCTCCAAGGTGACCCTTGCCGCTTTGCACTGACCTCCAGAGGGCCAGAGGGTGGGATCCAGCGCTATGTCCTGCAGGCTGCAGACCCTGCTGTCAGTCAGGCCTGGATCAAGCACGTGGCTCAGATCCTGGAGAGCCAGCGGGACTTCCTCAACGGTGAAGTTCTCATCCTTTCTCCCCGATGTGCTCTCAGCCCCTTGACCTCCTGAATCCCTCACTGCCCAGTCTCCAGTCCCTACCCTCTGAGCATGGCTCCTCCCTTTTTCCACTCTTAGCTCAAAATTTGATAGGATCCCCTAAAGCCCCATTCTCCCACTTTGCCCTACCTCCTCATTAGCTGACAGGGAGGGAGGGCAAAGTGGGAGAATGGTACAGGCCCTAGGGAAGAGACCTGTCACAATGGTAACCCTTCTTCTGTTCCCTCTTTGCTCCAGCACTGCAGTCACCCATTGAGTACCAGAGACGGGAGAGCCAGACCAACAGCCTGGGGCGGCCAGGAGGGCTTGGGGTAGGGAGCCCTGGGAGAATTCGGCTTGGAGATCGGGCCCAGGGCAGTGCACACACACCCATCAATGGCTCTCTCCCCTCCCTGCTGCTGTCACCCAAAGGGGAGGTGGCCAAAGCCCCCTTGCCCCTGGATACACAGGTATGATGAATAGGGTTCCCTCATTGTAGGGATAAAAAGGGGAGAGCCTCTCTTGTTCTGGGACCGGCAAACTCCCTCCCCATATCATTCCTTCCTTTTATCTGGCCCTTCCTACTTCCCATCCCTTCCCCTCTTCCCCTCCATTTTAACTCTGGAGAAGCTGATAGTCTCAGACAATCTAAGATATCTGGCAAGAGGAGGTGGCTTGGCTAGGGACTTAAACTGAAAGGAGAGAAGTGAGGGTAGATTTCTGGACTTTGTGATCCTCTGACTTGAATCTTTTCTTCAGGCCCTCGGTGACATCCCGCAGGCTCCCCATGACTCTCCTCCAGTCCCTCCAACTCCAAACACCCCTCCCTGCCAAGCCAGACTTGCCAAGCTGGATGAAGATGAACTGTAACTGGTGAAAACCATGGGGGTGGTGCTGACTCAGCTGCCTATTCCCAAGGAGCCTCAGGGCAGTCCTTCTGGCACTGCTCCGGAATTCTTCCTTCTTGGTGTGTCTGGAGGGTGGGCAAGGCTGGGAGAGCTATCAACTTGGAGGAGAGCACCTAGACCCAAGGACTTTTTTCCACCCAAGGAACGCAGGTTCCTTCCACTCCCACCTCTCTGCATGCATCATGGTCCCCCCAAAAGGAGGATATGTGGGTGGGTGGGAGGGCTGGGGCAGGGGCAAGATAGAAATTATTGGTTTTGCTTTTTAATTTTGTTTTTCCTGTTTTCTGAGAATAAAGGTTTTGTTATATCACAAGGCTGCTGGATTGGCAGAGGGAAGGGGAGGCTGTAGTGGGGGCAGGTGGAGTGAAATGATATGGAAGAGAATGGTTGGCCCGAGCCATTGGAGGAGGGGTCTGGTGAAAGGAGAAGGAGACAGGGTGTAAGATAAAAGACGTTGCTATCTTTGTTCCTTAACCACAGTTGCAGCATCTCTCAATCCAGACCTGAGGCATGGAACTACTGGAAAGCCCTAGATTCTTCTTCTTTTTTTTTTTTTTTTTGGTAGAGTAAGGGTCTCACTATGTTGCCCAGGCTGGTCTTGAACTCCTGGTCTTAAGTAATCCACTTGCCTCGGCCTCCCAAAGTGCTTGAATTACAGCCATGAGCACCTGGCCAGCCCTAGACTCGATGTACCCTCTTTACCCATCCCTTCTTTCCCCCTACTCACCCTCTGGTCTAGACCCCACCAGAAAGCTCAATGCAGTGTGACTTCTCATCATTCCCCCAACACCCAGATACTAAAGCACAAAATGCCCAGTGTACCTTTCCTTCTGAGGCTGCCACGCGCAGCTGAGGGAGGATGAGAAGGTGGAGAGGATCCTGGGGGCTGCGGCCTTTTCCTGTCTCTGGGTCTCCTTATCTTTGCTGTCTGTGAGGTCGTAAGCCATGTTCATAGTGAGCAGAAGGGGATTCTTCTTCAAGCCGTGGGCCCAAGAATGGAGACCCCAAGGGGGTCTTCATCCCTCCCAACTTCTGGAAGAACCACTGGAACAGAGAGAACGAAACATGCAGACAGCCATGTCCAGATGCCCTGTCCTGGGTCCTTATGCATCTGTGTGTCCACTGTGTCCATTCGTCCCTTGGGTTCAGTCACGTGCACTTGGGCTTCCTTAGCAGACAATAGACTGCTGGGGTGGAAGGGTGAGGAGGAGAGCTGGAGCCTCCCTGTGGGCCTGAGGTCCCTCTGGCCGACAATGGGGGGAGGATCTCTAAGGGGGGGACAGGACGTAGCGCCCAGATAAGACTTCTGGGGAACAATAGGAGGAATTGAAGAGGGGAGACCCACCCTCACTGCACCACACCCCCAGGGCTTTGGGGTCATGGACTGGGGGACCAGAGGGTCATGGGGAGGGGTGCTGAAGATTCTTGCGAATGGAGGAGGGGATCCTGGCAAACAGCAGGATTCTGGAGTTCAGAACCTTTGTATTTCTTTAGGAACCATAGGGATACATGAGGTGGGTGGCTGACTCCTTTGCACTTAGTTTAACCATGTATGTACTTTTGAGTGCCCACTTTGTGAACAGCATTTTTTTTGTTGTTTGTCTAAGATGGAGTCTTGCTCTGTCGCCCAGGCTGGAGTCCAATCACTGCAACCTCCACTTCCTGGGTTCAAGCGATTCTCCTGCCTAAACCTCCCGAGTAGCTGGTATTACAGGCGTGTGCCACCACGCCCAGCTAATTTTTGTACTTTTAGTAGGGGCGGGGGTTTCAACATGTTAGTCAAGCTGGTCTGGAACTCCTGACCTCAGGCGATCTGCTCACCTCGGCCTCCCAAAGTGCTGGGATTACAGGCGGGAGCCACGCCTGGCCTGTGAAAAGCATTTGAATGTGATAAATGTTGCCTAAGAAAAAATTTCCTATGGGTTCAGTATTTCCCTTGAGGCCCTAAACTGGGCCCAGCCACTACCCACAGAGGTGTGGGTGCTAGCTCTGTCCAATCCGCATGGGCTACATTCCATGTCAGTAGGACATGAAACTGCAGAGGCCAGAAGAGCCCCCGACACTTTTTTGGAGCCAGCTGTGCCCCATGCAGATGTGGGTCTGGGTGTGGTTCAGAATGGGCGCTGAACTTTCTTGCTCTGGCGGGGAGAACGCTGCGGTTCAAGGAAGAACCAATGACCCAAGAGGAACCAGCCTCTGTGTCTGCCGATGGGGAAAGGAACCGGGAGTGAGGTGAAAATTCTAAGGAGAGGTAAATAGTGGGTGTTGAGTGTTGGGGTGCGCTTGCCTTTCGGCCTCTCTGTCTCTCTAATCTCTACATATTTCCACAATCACCCGAGCCAGCGATCGGATCCGGCCAAGGATGTCTGCGGAAATGCCTAACAGAGACTCTCCCTCCTCGAGCCGTAACTCTCGCCAGACCCGAGAAGGTCCTCAACAGAGGGTGCCCTCCAGGGCCGGATTGGACCCTGCTTCGTGGGAGGCGGGACTCAGGGCTAGCGGATGGAGGGGTATTTAAGGCCGTGCTCAGTTGGAGGTGGCCAAGGGCAAAATGAGCGAGATTCAGGGCGCCGGGACCTACCCAGGCCCGGGGGACGCCTCCGACCTTAAGTACCCCCTGGGAACCAGGCTCAGGGAAGCTCTCACCGAGGCTCGGTTCCATCAGCTCTTCGGGAGCGAAGAGCTAGAGCCGGAGCGACCTGTAGAGCGCCGCTTTCCCCGGGTCTGCGGACTGTGGAGGCTGCGGGCTCGCTCCTGTTCCAGGACGGGGGCGTGGCGCCTGCTGCTGGCTCTGCTGCCCCCGCTGCACTGGCTGCCCCATTACCGCTGGCGAACCTGGCTGCTCGGAGATGCGGTGGCTGGAGTGACCGTGGGCATCGTGCACGTGCCCCAGGGTGAGAGGCCCTAACACCAGCCTTTCAGGAGCTCTAGAGGGCTTCCGGGAAGAGGGTAGGGAGCTGAGAATCTGGGAGCAGGTGGTGGGTTCGTGCCGCTGAAGGTGGGAGAGAGGGATCTGAGGCCAAGTTTGGGTTAAGGACTGTGAACTCCATCAGATCCCCACCTCCACCTCCTCTCATCTACCTGCAATCCTGCCAGAAGTCTTGGACAGGTTCTGGCTTAGAGAACTGGAGAGAGGCACAAAACGCCAGGCTCCCAGGACTTGGCCACAGGATCTCTGACCTCGTCTACCCCATGACCTCCCACTGAGGCCCATTAACCCCTCAGTTCCCTCTTGAGGCATGATTTAGCATCCTTCATGCCAGCCCCTAAGAGTGTGGGAAGGGGGTGAGTCCTGCAGCTTGGGCAAGGCCCCCTCCCCACAGCAGGCCTTTCCTTCCACTTCCATCCCAGGCATGGCTTTTGCCCTCCTGACTTCCGTGCCCCCGGTGTTTGGACTCTACACTTCTTTCTTTCCCGTCCTCATCTACAGCTTGCTGGGTACTGGGAGACACCTGTCCACAGGTGAGTGACCAGGGACTTCCAATGACTCCTCTTCCCTGTGGGGTGGAAATGGACAGGCACTCTTACTTCCCGTCTTCCTTATTTCCCTCTTCACCTCTCCCACCTTCACTTCCTTCCTTGCTCAACCCTGCCAGGAAACTGACCTAGACAATTCTCCTAGAGTGGGTGCAAAGAGATGGGAGATTACTTGAACTTTTTCCCCCTATGAAATTTGGTTAAAATGAATATCTCAGGGACTCGGAAGGGGAAGAAGAGGGGCATAGGCAGAGAATCTGCCGGAGGGAGCAGTTTTTGCCGACTGGTGCAGCTCTTCGTGCCCCACAGTCTTGACGGGGCAGCAGCCTTCCGGGAGAGCGGAGTCTGGCAGCAGCATCTCGGCCCCAGAGCGTGGAGCCTGAGTTGTTGCCCTGCCCAGGGCTGCCCAGCTGGTGATGTCTGCATGTGTCCCCCGTGGTAGGAACTTTCGCCATACTTAGCCTCATGACAGGCTCAGCTGTCGAGCGGCTGGTGCCAGAACCCCTAGTGGGGAACCTGAGCGGAATCGAGAGGGAGCAGCTGGAAGCTCAGCGGGTTGGGGTAGCCGCAGCCATGGCCTTCGGCAGCGGGGCGCTGATGGTGAGGGAGGACCCGGGGGGATCCCTGCTGGGGGGGCCGGGGAAATTGGGCCGGGGGAGAGAGAGAGGGACCAGCCTCCGGCTTGTTTTCGGGAGGGCTGAGGGGCGCGGGGCTGGTCTGCTTCTCTAGTTGGTGACTGCACGTCTTCCCCACCCCCGCAGCTGGGGATGTTCGCGCTGCAGCTAGGCGTCCTGTCCACCTTTTTGTCGGAGCCTGTGGTCAAGGCGCTGACCAGCGGAGCCGCGCTGCACGTGCTCGTGTCCCAGCTGCCGAGCCTCTTGGGGTTGTCCCTCCCGCGCCAGATCGGCTGCTTCTCTCTCTTCAAGGTGAAGTTGGGAGAAGAGAGAAGCGGCTTCTAAATGTCCCGGGAATAGGGAAACTCGAAAAAAGAGGAAGGACGGAGGGTGGAGGGATAGTGTGTGACAAGGGCGCTGGAAAGGTTGGAGCCCTGTGGCTGAACGAGGGCGCTGCGGAGGTGGAAGCCCTGGTGGTGGCACTTGGGAGAGAGGGCCTCGCCCTGGGGGCCCGCGCCGGGGCGCACGAACCCTGGCATGGGGCCCTCTGCTCACCGCCCCTGCCCGCAGACGCTGGCCGGCGTGCTGACTGCGCTGCCCCGGAGCAGTCCGGCTGAACTGACCATCTCGGCGCTCAGCCTGGCGCTGCTAGTGCCGGTCAAGGAATTGAACGTGAGATTCCGAGACCGGCTACCCACGCCGATCCCGGGGGAAGTCGTCATGGTGAGGATGGCCGTGTGCGCCGGCCCCTGCCCGCACAGACCCTGCCGTCCCGTGGGAACTGGCCGCTGCCGCCCCCTGGTGGAGTGCAGAGAGGCCACCGACCAGAGGGCCGGCTCACACTCACTTTCCCAGGCCTCCTAGAGGAGAACGCTTTGACCTTCCACAGTCCCCCTAGACACTGACACACGTCTCTCACGGAGCCCCCTCTAGACCTCTTAGAGTACCTTCCGCCATCCTACAGCGCTCCCTTGAGGTCTTGCTGGTCACAGCACCTTCTCTGACATCTGTCCTCACCAGGGTCCTTCTCTGTAATTCACCGTGCACTTCACCCTCCACTGATATTTCTCTCTCTCCTCCACTAACAGTTCCGCATCTCCACAGATGCCAGTATATCACTAGATATCGCCCAGCTTCTCTCTTTGGAAGGCTCAGTGGCATCTCTTCATATCCACCATCCTTCACAGAAGCCTCCTCTTACTTCTGCCATTCCAGCGCTCTGTGGCTCAGGCATACATCATTCCTCTTTTCCATCTCCACATTCCAAATCAGTTGTCAGGCCCCCATGCCAAACACATCCTGCTCCCCCGGGTGCTGGGCTCCTGCAACCAGCTAGGCCTGCATTATGGTCCCCTCTCATGCTCAGCCCTTCTAGCTTTTGCCAGGGCCCCCATCCCCTCCCCTGCCTTCATTTTGCTCTCTTTCTCAGGTGCTTCTGGCATCTGTGCTCTGCTTCACCTCTTCCCTGGACACAAGATACAACGTCCAGATAGTAGGGCTGTTGCCTGGAGGGTAAGACAGAATGAAAAGACGCCAGCTTTCTCTTCTCCCACCTCTCCCGCCCAACATTTCCTCTTATCTCTGTCCCCCCCATTTTCTCTGCCTTCCCTATCTCACTGCAGCACCCAACCCCTCCTCACCATGGATCCCTCCCTCTCCAGATTGCCCCAACCCCTCCTTCCCAACTTGGCTGAGCTGCCCAGGATTCTGGCTGACTCACTGCCCATCGCACTGGTTACTTTTGCGGTGTCCGCCTCCCTGGCCTCCATTTATGCAGACAAGTATAGCTACACTATTGACTCCAACCAGGTGGGACTCTGACTGTGGACCCCAACCCTCCCATCTGATCCCCACCACACCTTTGTCTCTCCTGCTTCATCTCACTGCATCCCTCCAGGAGCTCCTGGCACATGGTGCCTCCAACCTCATCTCCTCCCTCTTCTCTTGCTTTCCCAACTCGGCTACGCTGGCCACCACCAGTCTACTAGTGGATGCTGGTGGGAAAACACAGGTAAGAGGGCATCCTTGGGCCAGGAG